TTGTGGTTTGAGGGAGACGCTAAGAGGGAGGCGGAGGGACAAAGAAACTTACAACACAAACGCGACTGTGGTCCGCTCCTAGCCATGTTAACAAGTGAATCCAGCCAAACGTGTTCATTGTCTTTCAGGTCCAAACCAGGGAGCCGAGAGGCTTCAACCGAGGCCAACTTCGAACTAAGGGCTTTGATTCCTGTTGACCGTGTCGTCGGATAGCCTCCCTTTTCTTTCATTCACACCCTGATCCGCAAGCATCGCACATCGCACGAGTCGTTGTGCTGGCGTGCACAACACATAGACCAACCATTGGAGCCTGGTTCGTGAAATAACGGTGCTGAGCGATTCTCTTCCTCTTCCTGTGTCATGAACAAGGAAAATTATTGCACACGCGGTGTTCCAACCAGATATGAGCCAAACTGCGAAGGTACCGGTCGTCGGACGTAACTAGCCACTTTACATCTGATGATTTTTGGGTTAGGTTTCACAATCGAACAGTTGGATCGAACGTACGGCCTCATTGCACGCTATATCCTTCAGGGAGCTATAGGTAGCGAAAGTTAGCAAAAGCGCCTCGAGCATTTTCTGTACGGTTCGTGACATTATCTTCGATTCCACAGGAGCTGATGCAGCTACCTAGGTAGTTGAATTTCTGAACGACTTCTAGCTGATCCCGACTAAGAGTCAATGCAGGTGATCGCCGTTAATCTAGAGAAACACTTTGTACTCTGAAAGTGCAAAGCAAAGTCCGAAACGGCCGACAGACAGTGCTTATCTGTTTAGTGCTGCTTGGAACGTTTGTGAAATGTCACAGATTAGGGCAAGGTTATGAGCAGCTCCAAACCTTCAAAATCGTGCCCGGTGAACGCGATTTCCACGGCTTTATCAATAGGATGAAGAAGAAGGGAAAGTTTTAGAAGTAGCATCCAAAGCCGTGTCCACCTCGATCGACGCAGCAGATAGGGTGCCGTTAATTATCCTCTGCGATGGGCAAAGCAACAAAATGTTTGTAGAGTTCATTGTATTGCGTGGGTAGGATACTGTCAGGTTTCCCAGACCTAGACAGGAGGACGATTAGGGATCTCAATCAAAGAATTTGGTTCAAAATCTTGACCGCAAGACGAGTTTGGCAGTGGGCTACGAGTTCGTTTTAAGGAGTAAGAAGCCATGCTCACTCAAACCTCCAACCTAGAGGAAAAGGAGGGTGAATTTATCTGGCCACTAAGCGTTGATCAATCTAGTATGAGACTAGGAAAATGCAGGAAGCACCACCGAGCACAGCTCAATGGATACAAAAGACACAAACCACCGCCAGCAACACTGTGATGAGTGGGGTAAGCACGCTCGGTCATGGTGATAATAGAGTTATATTTAGTAACGCAGTGTAATTCACAGCTGTCCTTCCTGCTGAGCGCATGTTTGATGACTTTTAGTGGTTTAAAATGTGTTTTCCAGACGTTACTGTCAGGAGCATGAAGAGGCTGAAGATCACATTCATTGTGCGAAGCGCTTTTTAGGTTTGCTTTTAAACGCGGGGGTAGTAATATTAGTGAACATCAGATCTTTCGCTTGCGGTTGGGCTGAAGTTAAAGACCATAAGGGAGAGCGGTCCGTGAACAAGGTCACCGGTTGGTTTCCATGCAGTAAGTCGGCGATCCATTCCATGCCTGCCGCAGTCGGTGCTGGTGGCGAAAGATTACTCAGTAGTTACCTGCGTAATCTAAGATGTAAGAGGCGTGAGTTAGGTCCGCTTATAGACGAGTCACATTTCGAGTTGCTTGCATTCACTGAAACATAGTTGTCTCGGAAGGTGAAGTGCATCGACCTGGATACGCATTTATCAGGTCTGATCGGTTTGCAGGTTGACGAGATGGAGACGTCGCTCTGTATGTGATCTGTAAACTTGATGTCTTGAGGACCTGACTGTTTCAGTCGGACAAAACTGTCAAAGCTTAATCGGCTGTAACCAGCAAGACACAATTCACAGTTGCAGCTGTGTACAGAAACCAGTGATTTCGTTCATTACCAGACTGCTAACAGGTGTTTGGTGACTTAAAGCCCCCAAGGTTTGTTGGACTTATCTTCCTCGTAGCTCAGTGTCAGGCGTGAAGGATCTAGACCTCAGGTTACAAGTACCGCTGCATCGGTTCGTTGACCTTGCCATTAGGTACATGGACCTTAAAGTACCGTGCATTTGACTTTGTTTTTGCCAAACCACTTAATTCCGTAGGTGGGTACCGCTCATTTCTGGGAGCTATTGACCGTGCCTGCTTATTGTTCAGTTGTGCTTTGTATAGACATTACCAGAGTGTCGTTGCGTCATACCCAAGCAGTTGGTGTGCGAACTATCAAACAATGCGAGCTGTCTTCAGGTTTGTGCTGCGAGATTTGGGTAACCGACACTTTTCAGAAATAAAATTATCTCTTTGAGATCTCTGCTCTTTACATCGCGCTTATGACAGCTAGTGCCAAGTAAAAAATAGGTGAAGGTAGCATGTTAGGAAAATCCGCCTTTTGTGCAAGAAGGGTTTAACTGACTCAGCTCTGAGTAATTTCAAGCTATTAGCTCATAACAAAGACGCTGCGGTACAAATCTGGCAATTCAAGCGTTGATGCGAGTTCATGGCACTTTGTGTATGCTGATTGCGATAAGGTTTGTATACTTGGTGGGCAGTATGTAATAACTTTTGTACTTGAGGGCCCGTTGACGGGTTGGATTGGTTCCGAGAGTCCAAGAGGATTCGTGACCAGATTAACTTAGTGTAGTGGTGATGTAAGTTTTTAGGATGAAGAAAAGGTTGAACCCTTCTAACACAGCTAGGACTGATTTAATTTTCCTGAAGCTGCTACATCAGTTGGGTGTAGGACTGAGGGGTCCATACAAAACCGTCTTTCAGATGCCACTTGACAGCTGTGCAATATTTTCTGAATGGAAGAAAGGTATTATATGTCCCATTTTCAAAAATGGCGGAGGGGTCAGCTTTTCGATTGCATGCGAGAGATTTGTTGGAGGGTCACCTACATAGATGTAAACTATTCAGCAGTCTATAAAAAGAAAGGGCTTTCGTGCCCGATGAATCGGAAGCTCGTGAAAGTTGGGCTAATGCAGTGGACAATGAGCAGGCATTTGACGTGTTTTCATCAACTTTCCGATGGCATATGACATGGTACCTCATTTGAGATCATCACAAAAGCTAAGAATCCAAGGTGTATCTGATGGATCAATTAAATGGAGTTTTGCTTTCTTCGATGAAACATAGCATTGTGTATGCTTTGGGCACAGCCTTTCAATTAGATAATCTGTTTCGAATGGCGTCACACAAGTCCTGTTCGCAACCTATGTGAACGATTTTCCCGAGAGTATAAGGATAGTATCGCTATTGTTCGCTGATGACCTGAAGCCCTGGGAAATTGTAGACGTTCCTGGTGGTTCTAAGGAGATAAAAGCGTGCCCTAGATAAGCTCCGGGACTGTTACCTTGTGGTTACTGTCCATAAAGCAGGCAGTGTTCCATTGTTTGCTTTGCAGCAGCTTCGCCCATCTTGAGTCACATCGTTTACGGGACTGAAATACCATGCGTCTCTAGACCTAGTCCGCTCATCGACTTTGCATTCGAGTGACAAATAGAGGAAAGCCGTAAGTGAGAGTTCCATATGTTGTAGTTAACACGCCGGTCCTTCCGAATCTTCACTGTTGATATCTTTGTGAACTTGTTCTCACAGTTCGCTGTCTCATCTGAAATTTTGAGTCCATACTTACTCGCCCTGACTCGTCTGGGCCAAAATGGAGCGAGAGAGGGTCTTACAAGTGGGTAAGGTTATTCAAAAGATCACGGGAAGAGACGAACCCCGGGGGACTACTTGGATTGGGGATGCATTCAATGTACTACTGAGGGTTTTGAAGAGACCATATGCCCACTTACCGTATCTTAAGTGGGAAGACAGGACCAGTCTATTTCCGGTTATTTAGTCCGGCCTGGTTACCTACTCTTCGGGGTCTTCCAATGTAACTGAACAAGCCGTATGTTGACTTGGTTTATGACGGAAACTAGGTTATCGTACCCAGGTATGGAGCGGTGGGAATCGGTTCCATATGGGGTGATCAGAGAGTCTACGGTTTGGGGCGTCAGTCAGACGCTCTTTGGTGCTAACAGGAGAACTCTCTCTTCTGACAAACTCTAATCAACGTTATCGTTGATCCAAACGTTTTTTATTCTATACAAACGCAGTGCCGGTCAGCGGCCTAAAGGACAACAAGTTTGCACTGTAATCTGAGGACACCGATTCAAGCGTAGGCTAGGGACCGGGCGACGCTCGCAGTACCCTTAGCCCACGAGCGCCTGGTGATTGTGCAATAGCGAAGCGCAGGTACGCAGTACCAGCGCAATGCTGATACCTTTTTTAACACTCTATACCTTTGCACCCTGTTTATTGCAAGTAACCGGTACAGCAGGGGCAGCAAAGTGCAGAATACGTAAGTGGTAATTGATTGAGCTAACCGTGATTTGAGTGTTTGGGTTACATTCATAAAGCCATCGGAGCGGCTTATTAAATCCTGGTCCAAGGACCCGCTCAACAAGGCGCATTCACAGAAGTATCCCAACGTTTTACTCCATTTGAATTGTATTACAAGGGTAACCAACTCACGTAAGTGTGGAATGGAAAAGCATCAACGCGTGCGCAAATCACAAGGCAACATAACAGTTTTCGAGCCATGTTGAACATAGCATTTCTGTTATGAGTAGCGGAAAGTCCAATGAATGCTTCGAGGTTGTGGAATAGAATGGTTAAAAAGGTACATATCGCAGAGTACGGTTAAAAATAGTATGATCTAGGAATGAGATAAACACATGGTATGAAGACCGTCATGTCGTTTCCTAAGACCGCAAAATCGCTGTTAATCATAGTGACACCTAAGCAAGTAGCCAAGTTTACGCAGCAGGTACACTGGCTCTCAATATGCACAAACGGGTAGCAACTGGTGGTAAAACAGTGGAAACTCGTTACCTTTTCCATGATATCCTCTTCGCCCTTGCTAAATTGTGTCAACTCCTCGGCAGAAGTTAAAAGCACCGTGCCTTTTGTTTCGGTTTGCAGCGAATCAACCGGACAAGAGAATATAGCGATCTTGCAATTATGCACCTCCTTGACTTCACCTTCGCTCTCACGGACAAAAACCATTCCACGGACAAGGTGAGAGCTATTGACGCCTGATCCCTTGAAAATGAAGGAGTAAACGAAACTCATGGAGTTTGATGGAAACAATACAGAAAACGACCCGAACGGAACAGCTATTCGAGGGAGCAAGGTGTGAAAAGAAATGATACGAACAGAAGTGTGAACCATTGTATTCCGTACCACAAGCAGTAAGATTTCAGAACCGGAACGTTTGCTAAATTCCAGCGTTTGAATAAGTATGGAAAGAGCAATACCTGACCAATTCGCGTTACTTGTTACTATGTGAATGCAAGCAACAGCACTAGGGCAAGGACACTGACAGGGCACTCAGATAATAAGGGTTGCGAGTAAGGTACCTGAAACACGCCACTATGAACATATGAAACAGTATACCTAAGCATTATCCCATGCAGATCCAGGAAAGGTAAGAAAGTACTAATTATTAAAAACCCAAAGTTGTAAACAAGTGCAGGAATAAGGCAAACTGCATAGTATACGGATAGGCACGACGGTAGAGCGCGAACAATTTGATGCAGCAGTAGCAGTGTGGGAGCTGGAAGGTTGCGGTGGAAGAAGAACTAATTGAAAGATAAGAAAGACACGAAAGCACTAACAAAGGTAATCATAAAAGGTGGGTCTGAAGTGTGACTAAGCGAAAGAATGTAGGGTTAATAGAGACTGGTTAACATCGAGGAACTTACTAGGACTTTTAAAACCCGAACACTGTCAACGTTAAAATGAGACTTTTGAGGAAGGATAGAAACTAACAAGGATGATGGATTAGGTACGAAAAATTACTGCAGGCCTTGGTGATAAGATCCGAGAGAAATTCAGCTAACTCCAGTTGCTTGCTCATAACAGATGTTTTCACTACCTTCTTCACACTTTCAAAGTCTCGTAGATCGGAAACGCTGCCGACAACCAGATCTGAAACTATCAAGAACGCGACGCACATACCATCAAGGATTTCCAGGGCTTTGTTTCTGGCAATTTCATAGCCTTCGGTGACTTGAGTTACGGATAAGCCCTACAACAATAAACGAACATGGAGCCTTTGTTACCATTCGAATGAGGTCCCTGGCTTGTTCGAGCAATGCACCGGATAACTGGAAAACAAAATTTGTCCCATCTCCAGCTTCTTGCTCTTGCTGCTGAGACGCCATAACCATTATCTTTGCAGCAGGGTGTGCAACCTCAAGTTCTTTCAAGATTGTAGCTGCGTCATTGGTAACGAATTGACGGCCAATATGGTTTATTATGATTTTATTTTGACCGGCAGGCCCGAAAGTGGTGCGCGTTGTTTTAGAAAGTGCGAGGCACGCCTCAATATTCCGAAATACAGCTTCTTCAAGGCCTTCAAAATACTACAAAAGTTGCATACAGCAGTAATTAGGACGCACTCTTGCACCTTCCTTTAACATAGACATAAAACCGGGGGCTTTCGGCACGTGCAGCGCCATCTCGGTGAATTTGAGCAAGCGAGGAAAGGGGGAATCGTTCGGCGAGCAAACTTATGGAAACGGAAGGCAATTAGTAAGATTGTAACGTAGGCGTAAAGTCAGTAGACAAGTAACACGTAAAAGTAATTTTGCAAAATATTTATATTAAATAGCAGTGTGAACAAGTCAAGGTATGAATACTGCGCGATTAACTTTCACTAATTTAAATCTGGATATGTGTGCTCTTCGTAAACATAAGGATACCATGCTCACAAACGTAACCTTATTGAACATAACTCGTCTTAACAGGTAATTCCCAGTTACCATATTTAACCCACAAGCTAGCAAAGCGCGGTAGGTTTGTTAGAAGTTACCAAGCATGTTTATGAAATGTCATAACTGGCTCCTCAAGCTAATTTTCCAGAGCTTTTAGGACCGGAACTCAAGATTAATCAATTAAATACACCCGCTTACGCGTACCGTTACCACGGAAATCAGTTAGGCATCTGAAAGCTTGGTCTTTTTAAGCACGGCTGCAATTGCCTCTAGGAAATTTCTTGGTCAAGCCTATGCGATACCTGGAAGGGGTGGACGCTTCCCGATTTGTTTCTGATTTTACTAGTTCTCTATTCTTTGTTAAGGACAATACTTGCAAATTACATCTGCCGGCTGGTGATGACGTTTGTTTAGTATCCGTATGCGCTGTCTTTAGAATGCAGTGTACAGGAAAACACGCTGTTTCTGTATTTTGCAACATAGATTTTGCAGTTGTTCTAACCTTCAAAACATTCACTTATTTTACTGACGGCACTTCCGCTGACACAAATTCTCTTGGAGATAATTCTGCCCTACCATTTCTCGCTCTGGTTGATTGGCTTCCTATGTTTGTAGCCTGCACATTACCCTTTGTTTTCAGTCGCCTCCAACTGTTCTGCTGTACCTTAGGGGACAAGGCTTTTACGTGTCATTAATTACCGCCTAGTATCCCAGGGGCTATCCAACAATAGGTGACCCCGGTCAATAACCCGCCGTCTGCCAATTTGAATTATCATTCTAGTGACCTCGTTCCATCAAATTTGCGATTCAGTACCTGTGAGTATCTTATTTTCTCACGTACCAAAATTTTTATTCACTGTTTGGATTGTGTTATCTAGAGGAAACACCACCTTAATATGTGGTTGACGCCGTTGAGCTTGTCATACGCAATACTGTTGCGATTAACCCACCACCGTTGTGAGAGAATGATGCTTCGTTATTGTTTTTGCACCTAGGAGCCCGTTTTCTCATTCCGAGGCTATCTTCTGGTTTCGTCATGTATGATCAGTCAATATCATGCCTTCCACAGAGTATGTCCTCGCAGGTGCGAGACATCATATTTTGGCCCCACTCGAAAGGAAATACGAAACTTTTAAACGGGCTATTATTCAGCGAATAGTAATTTTTGACAATGGTCGTCTGCAGCGGCTATGTAGTGATCTGCAACTAGGAGACAAGGTGCGCTCAGTCCTGTTGCTCGGAATGCAAAAGCTCGTCGGCACGTCCCTGATAAACGTAGGGCTTCTCCGCTGTCTATGCATGCAACGCCTTCCTGAAGCCACACAAGTCATCCTTTAGGTAACAAGCACATTGCTATTTACAGCCATTTCAGACTTAACAGACCGCGTCATCGAACGGCACCAGTCCGGGGCTACAACCAAAGCACCTCAGCAGCTTTGTACTGGCACTGCAACACCGATACCCTCGACTAGCCAGCCGCCGGCCATAGATGCATTATCATCTCAGGTCGGGGAGCCTACTAAAAACCGTAAGCACCGCAGCCACGCTGGCGCCTTAGGTTACGGCTTTTTGCACTTAGGTTCCGGTACTAACCTCCGTAAGTGTTTACAACCACGCAGCTACTCCGCTACAGGCGATCGGCCACGAACGACTTCGACACAACTCAATGCCGTCTTAACTATATCAGGGATTATGATCCTGAGACCCAGTTCTTAATTGATAACGGGGCGGAAGTCAGCGTCATAACATCTCAGCCAGGTCAGCCTACCGGTTCGTTGTCGACAAGCCTAAGTGCCGCCAATGGCACACCAATAGCCACCAAAGGCCATTGGTCGCTTACCCTGGACTTGGGTCTTCGGCGCACGTTCCCCTGGGTATTCACCAATGCTCCAGTCACTTTATTATTATTAGCATTAACTTTCTCAGGCATTTTGACCTATCGTTAGATGCGGAATGCCAGCTGTTTGTCGACATCAGAAAGAGATGCAGTGTACGTAACATTAACCACGATATCGCATCCATCACCCCGGTCTACGCCTTTCCACAGACCCCACCAGACTACGCCCACCATTGCTAACAATATTCCATGCTCGTACAACCAAAAATCGCTGCTTTGCCCGTGGCAACTTCAGTCAGGCAGCACGTCCGTCCATGCCGAGTAGCACCCGAAATTTAAGGTAGCAGGGGCAGAGTTTGAGCACATGCTCGAACTTAGAATAATCGGTTCTTCCGACAGCCCTTGGGCTTCTTCCTTGCAGGTGGTCCTTCAGAAAGCTGTTGACCGACGTCTTTGCTGGGGCTATGCGTGGACCCAAACAGCTAACTGTTACAGGCAGATATCGCATCCGACCTCTGCAGAACGTTGCCGTATGTTTCACAGGTAAGGCCATCCACAGCAAGCTGGCTCTAGTTCACGCTTATCACCAGATACCTGTAGAACAAATGCTATCTCTAAAGCGGTGGGTAGCACATTTTCTACCTGTTGCATTTTAAAGCAAGCCGTTTGGAAGGTGCATCGCCGAGTAAACTTTCCAACAGTTCATCCAAATTTTCACCCGTGGCATTGACCGCTTATTCCTACCGCATCGGTATTTTATAGCAAATACATCGGAAGAAGGGCGTCTCGTCCAACTTCGAACTCTCTTCCATCGCTTGAACCAACACGGTATAATAGTCAATTTGTCTATGTTCGAACTCGGCAACTCAACGGTAAAATTCCATGACCATCTCGTTTCTTCTTCTGGCATCGTAGTCCTTTCTGATATGCTCCATGCTATTAAGGAGTTCTCATTTCCGACTTCGTTAAGGCACTTCCGTAGCTTTTGTGGTTTGGTCAGCTGCTCTCGATGCTTCCTTCCGCGCTGCGATCAGCTCATGCAGCCTTTTGCTGACCTACTCAGACGGAATGAATATAAGTGCGGTTTCCCTGACACAGTACACACTGGGTTCACCGAGCGCCAAACTGCTACCCCCAACATATCCCTTCTCGCCCATTCCGGAACGACCGCAAACTTTCTATTACAACTGAGGCCTCCGACATCGCGGTAGGAGCCGTCCTCTAAACACAAGTTGGTGGGCAGTAGCAACCTTGTGGAGCTTTTGCAAGCTTCTGCGGCCAGCAAAATCTAACTACAGCAGGTATGGCAGGGAACTGCTCCCCATTTACCTGGCCATTCCTCAGTTCCTGAACACACTCGAAAACCGTGCTTTCACGGTGTAAGCTGGCCAAACTCCCTTCATCTTTACTGGCAGCTCTGTTTGCTACAATAACTCCCCACGGGCAACAACTCACCTAGACATCGTCACGCCACTCACCGCTGACATACGTCACGTCTTAGGTGTCACCAATCAAGTCGCCGATGCTCTCTCCTGCGTCAGCCTCACTCTCCCGTCTTTGCCTACCGTCGACGTACCCGCCATTGCATCGGCTAAGGCTCAAGTGGAAGCGATGCAACGCATCCTGCAATCCACTTCGCTTCAAGTGCTACCTGTTCCTCAGCAAACCACGGAATGAACCATCTTCTGCGACACTTCCACAGGTTGTCCCAGACCCGTCGTGCCCGTATCCTTCAGACGCACGTTGTTCGAAGCCCTCCACACACCCTCATAACCTTGTCTCCCGGTATCTATGAAACTGGTCAGCGTACGTTTCGTTTGGCCAAGCACAAACAAATATTTTCGTACTTTGGCTCACGCCTGCCTGCAGCGCCAGCGCTCCAAAATACGTCCCACCCGCAGTCCTCTAGGGTAAGTTCGCCACTCAGACACTCGTTTCTTGCATGCATACTTAGACGTAGTAAGTCCTTTGCCTCCTTTAGGCGGATTCGTACACATTCGTACATGTGTCTACAGATACACCAGCTGACCAGCAGCCATTCTCGTAACAGAATGCACAGCTGAAGCTGTTATCCGGGCCTCCTTAGAACATTGGGTCGCGCAGTACCGATGCCCACCCAACCTTACAAATGACCAAAGGTGCCCTTCGAATCCTCACAAATCGATACTTGCCGTAAATTTGTAGGCTGCCGCCGCGTTCAGACCACAGTGTAGCACCTAACAACCAACGGGTTAGTCGAATGCTTCCATAAACAAATAAGCATTGCTTTGCGCTCTCTGCGATTCTAGCTGGAGCGGAAGCGTTTCGCTCTTACTCAGCAAAGTAGGCATACACATTCGGATCTTATATCCACTTCCTCCCATGGCTTACTAATTTAGCAGTAAGTGGCCGCGAAAACGTCTACCTGCATAATCCTAAACTACTGAATGACATCTCTGACTTAACTTTACTTACCCGTCTCCACCGCCTCTGGTAGTATTCTTAGGTTGGTGCTATGCTGGCTACTGGATCCCCGACACTTTCATGCAGGGCACTAGCCGTGTAGCTACTGACGTTTATCCTACCGTTACCTATATCCACGGCCAGCTTGCTACTGCACTTCCGTCACTTAACTTGCCTGTGCTACTAACAAGTAACAATGAGGTTAGGCTTAAGAACCTTCAGCAACCCAGCGCGATAGCAGTAAACTGATGTAAATGTGGCACCACTTCACCTCAAAGATCGTCGTTTTCTTGTCCTTTATCTACATGTATAACAAGTTTATGTGATAAATAACGAAAAGCTACAGTACCCACAGCGTTTGGTTGCATTCCATTTGCTTCCTCGTATGCGTTTTCATTGCATTGCTCCTTGGCTTGCTCTTGTCCGTTGCGCCTCTTTCCCCACTTCTCACAGATACTTTCACTGGGCCGGATTAATGCTACAACAACTGAGTGGTCCACAATTGGCAACACCGGTAAGTGCCCTCGCAAATAACAC